TTTAACAGTACCTGGCTCCTCATAGTAAATATTTATCAAATATTGATTATACTTGGATGCAATTCCAAAGATTTCTTATCCACATCCAGGACCTTTCCCCTCTGTGTGCCAAGTCTGTCTGAAAATGGGGATTTGGGATTAGTCAGTTTCTCTGTGTTGTAGAGAAATGGGAGAGTTGCTGTTGTGACTCAGTAAGGTGGTTTTGCTGTCTCTGTGTACAGATCTTAAAGGGCATCCAAATGTCATCAAACAATAGTATCTGTTCTGTATCCTGTACACCCCCTTTTTCAGGCTGCCAAGCTATATATTGATGTCATCCATCCTGCCTTTTTTCTAAATCCCCTGAATAACATGTTGAATATCCATCAGAGCAATTCTTCTATCAGTTTTTATTTAACCATTTGCAGACTTAACAGTATACCTTTCTCCAAAAAATTCACTTAAATGGCAGACTAGAAACATTTTAATGATCTGCTCGAAAACCTTTTCATGCTGAAGGACCAGAAAATCAGGTGTTATTACCTATTTGGGTTTAGGGAATGGGTCATTTTTTATTCCACTCAATATACACATCTTTAAGATCTTCGCATTTGTTGAATATTTTCCATATTGGGGGCTGAACAGTCATAGTGTTAAGATACGACGATGCAAAGATTTGTGCTTTATCTTCAAAGAACTTAGTCATACAGCATCACCAAGGATTGTTTATTTATTATGACTACCACCCACAGTCCGGAAGTCAAGTCTTAGTTTGTGATCAGTAATGATTTGTGCAAAGTGCACATGTCAACATGGAAGTACTGATGTCTGATGGCAGCTATGGCAGGCTTCCCTCTCTCTTGGAGAAAACATTCTGTTTCTCGAGGTTGAGCACTGAGGGAGAGAAAATGGCTCCTAGTTTGTGGCAACTGACCTGGAACTGCAAGGTGGAGTGCTGTCATGGGAAGACCTAGTTTCTTGTCTTGACTCTGCCTTATTGTTAATATTTTGGGCAAGTGCTGGTCTTGGAGATTGGGCTCCTCTTCATCCATGAATTCTGTTGAGCTCGTCTAAGTTTAAAAGCTGTTCATGTTATCTTTAGCAGGCTAATTCTTTTACTTGAGCAATTGATTGGGTGGAAGCTAATTGTAGGTTCTGATTTTGAATAATCTCATGTTCATAGCCACTGTGTTAGCTATCTAAGGGCAAGTTACTAATTGTTTTTTGCTGGCTGTAAGCTTATTGCCAGGCGTTGTTTCACCACGTTTTCCCTCTAAGATAGAGCAAGGTTTGCTCTTAAAAAAATCCTGATCCACCCAGGGAATACCAATTGTTCCCAACCAATTCCTTTGGATATTAGTTCAAAAAACCATGATGTATTTCAGGACTCATTTGGGTAGGGGTTTTCAGCTTATCCTGGTCTTTCCCTGTGAACTCCTTGTATCACTAGAGAATGTGGGGCAATGCACTAAGTTTAATGACCTTAGAAATAGACTCAGGGGAAATTAGAAGAATTAGTATCACATTCATTTTTAAAAAACTCCATTAAGGTCTCACTCAGAATTGTTTTTTGTTCATTTGTGGATACTGTGAGTTTTGGTACCCTTTGAATGGAATACATTACTTTGAAATATGGGCAAAATGACTGTTTCACAGTATCTTTCAAATTGTTCTTTTAAGATTTCGAGCACCCTATTTATATTTCTAAAGAAAGCTATTTGTTCTTAAAGTCCAAAGAGATACAGAGAGGTCAGAAAACCAGGGTTGAGTCCCTGGTCTGTGCAGATTGAGTGTGATATAACCTCTGAGAAGGAAAAGAATTGGTATTTCCCTAGTTTTGTTCCAGATCTGTGACTTTTTCGAAGCTTTTGATCATCCTGTGTTCTAGTTAGGGAACTGATCCCCAGGTTGTGTGTTCAGCTGCTGATATGTGCAAGTCTTGGCCAAAACTGGAGTTCCAGTGAATGGAACGACACACTTCCCTTTTTATTCTCCTCTGCCTTAGGATCCTGTCACCACATTGGGAAGATTAGACAAAAACTCTCTGCAGTTTATTTTCTCTTTTGAACAAGTTACATTGTGGAGGGACTTTTAAGCTAAAAGAAGAAAAGCTCCTTCTTTGTTCGAAGCAGCAGTGTGTAAGTTTCAACTTGTCTTGGACTTCCTCGGAGATGTTTTAAGATCCGGTGTAAACTTGCTGTGGTTTGCCTTTGGGCATCAAACTGTTTAGCTTGGCTCTATTATATCTGTAATTGCTGCATTTTAATAATTACCCAATATTCTTGTCAGCAATTTGCAGTCTATATTTTTAATAGAACCATTTGCCTTTCTTTTCCAGGTTCATTCAGACTTGGTTTAAGCCCTGGATTAAGGTGCACAGCCCCACAGACCCTCTGCAGCTGCGGGCAGGGGGTGACACAAGTTCATTAAATATCCCTGCAGGCCTCCTGCTGGTCATGTGGTTTGTGTACACCATAAAAATCCTCTGGGAAGTCATCTTCTGAGGTCTCCTTATAGGGTTTTGCTTTATAAAAGTTGCCCTTTTAGTACTTGTTGAAATGGCATGTTCTTCTAGAGTTTTCCTTATCCATCCATTCAGGAAATCTAATTTTTTGAAGGGAAAAAAATAGGGACAGATTCTCTTTGCTGGCATTGACTTTTTTTTTTTGATCATTGATTTTTCAGATAACCGAGGAGACTTCCATTACATCTGAGGTGATGTGGAATTATGGTGGCAATCACTTTAAGCAGTGATTGGAAACAATTTTATGGTGTCCAGAGTTATGTCTATAATTTAGTCAGTTTTTGAGATAAGACCACTGTGCCATCAATGAACTGTGCCTCAATTTTGTCGATAACTTTGTTTTCTTAGTGATCTGCTCTTTAGCTTATCTCCTTTTGGTGTCCATTGTAATGTTTATTTTGCAGTATTTTTCAGTAGCTAAAGATTATGTAGATAGCTATACCCTAATTTTTCTGCTTTCTTGGTATAAATATACCTCAAAGGGAATGGACCAGTAATGATAATAATAGCTAACATTTATTCATTGCTTATTATGAGTTAGACACTGTTCTTTTTTTTTTTTTTGCTAGGCACTGTTCTAAACAATGTATCTACATTAACTCATTTAATCCTCACAATAGTTTGTAGGATAGTTTCGTCCATGCAGAGTGCCCAGTCAACATCACCCATTTGGGAGGTGGCAGAGTGGATTCAAACCTATGCAGACCTTTTACTTCCACTCTCATCTGTATTTTACTCATACTAGGCTTTTAAAACCATTTTCCTACCAAGACTGGACCACAGTGCCTCCTGCATATGTAATAGTTTAGCTTTAAAGCATATATAAAAATTATCTTTGAAATTCGAACTTTATTGTTATTATTGCTGGGTAGGTAATACTTGTAAAACCCAAATGGGAGTTCACTGAAAAGGTTCCCTCCCTCTCCTACCTCTGTACCCCAGTCACCCTATTGTTTTTCCTTCTCCAAGCCCATTAGGTATTACTACTACAGAGATGCATTTTAAGTATCTTTCTCTTCACACTTGATGCAGTGAACTAAAACCGTTTAATTCGAACTCGTTTTGCCATTGTTTTTATATATTTGTACTGTGTCTGCAAGTGCCCAAACTAGCTTTGTGTCTGAAGGTAGCATGCTGTTTCTGGGGATGCGTTTATCTGACTCTGGGTAACAGGGCTGCAGTCTCTAGCTGTTTGAGGTGGATCCTAGAAACGCGCGATCCTGCCTTGCCTGAAGCTTAGATCAGGCAGGGTCTTCATACTTTTATCTGGTTGTCAGATAATTTTTATTCCTGACACCAGGAATCATGTCCTAATGCAACACCTGGAACATAGTAAGTGGTCAATAAATGTTTGTTGAATTGCAGCTTCTGTGGGTTGTGCCAGACTCAGGGAGATAAGGTAGGAAAATTTATCAATACGTTGCAGTGTCTAAATGAGGTAATTTTTAGGGTCATCGGAGAATATTCCAGTTAATCCCACCTTCACAAAACTTGTCATTTCAAGGCTCTAGATAGGAAAAGTTTTAAAAAAGCCTCTTGGATCCTCTAGTCAAGTAACCAGATAGTCTCAGATGGAGTTGAGAGACAGGTTTTCACATGTTAAAATGTTGGCAAACAGTTGAAATAAGAATTTGGCTTTTTAATGGTTCCTTATGTTTTCAGATTGATTCTAAATTAATATTTTAATTTGATCCTTGTGATAGGTCTGTCACTATAACATTAGATTGAGTTCTTTTTAAAAAATTTTACTGAACTATAATTGATTTATAATTTTATGTTAAATTCTGCTGTATAGCAAAGTGATTTGGTTATACACATATATATTCTTTTTCACATTATTTACTGTTATGCTTTATCATAGGATATTGATAAAAATATAAAATAAAAAAATTTAAAAATTTATAAAAATATAAAAAATATTTTTATATATCCTTTATCATAGGATGTTGTTGTTTATCTATGCTATATATAATAGTTTGCATCTTAGATTGAGTTCTAATCAGAGTTGGTCTTTTTTTTTTTTCTGAAGTTCACTTATTAAATGTCATTGATTAGTGTTCCAACATAACTGATGATGTTATGTTTAGGTGTACCTTGAGTTTATTCTATACTGTTGAAACTTTAATATAAAACCAAAGATTTAAAACATCAACACAAACATGTATTTGCAAAAGTATTTGCTGTAAAAATCTTTATTTGGCAATTACTGCCCCCGTTCCCCTCTGCCCCCCCGCCCCTGGTTTGCTTGAGTGCTGTCTAGTCATCTTTTAAGGTAAATTTCTTATACTTTTTTAGGAATTCTTCATTTCACTTTAATATGTACTTATGAACAGAAATTCCTGCATTAAGTTTTCTTCTTAAAATGTGTATTTTTACAGGCAATTTGAAAATTGGAAAGAAGGATTTTAAAGCCACTTTTGACTTGCAAAGATTGTCTATAATCTGAAGAACTACAGGCTGAGGTGACTGAACAGGACACACTTTTGGAGAAATAAAAATGACTTCTCATTGTGTGATTGTCATGTTTGCCTTAATGAGTTCCTGCTTAGCAACTGCAGGTAAGTTGCATGATACAAATTGCATGTTCATTGTGTTCTTTTGGATATATTTTTCTTCATTCTAGAAAAATTTAGAATATGTGATGTTTATGCAGAGCTTGAGTATTTACATTCGTCAAGGAATAAAATACTTGACTCCTCTACAGATACATAATGTGTTTGCCTATATTATATCTTACTACACTAGTGCTAGATATTCGAATGTTGGTGACGCAGATACTTCAGTGTAGAGGTGGCTAGAGAACAAATATGCTGTTTAAACCCACTTAAGTTTGTTACATGCAGAGATTACATTTACTTTCTTGTCCTAAATAAGAATTTCAAGAAAGCCCTTTGGTTCTTTATTGTAAAATAAATAGATCTTTTGTATAGAGGTGACACTGCTAGCACAGGCTACTTAGGAAATATTTAATTTTGCCTATTTCAGGTATTTTAGGATGTGATTTTTAAAAAACTACAGAGGGGATTCCCTAGCAGTCCAGTGGTTAAGACTCTATAATTTCATTGCCAAGGGCCTGGGTTGGGGAGCTGAGATCCCACAAGTTACATGGTGTGGTGAGAAACAAAACAAAATATAAAAATTAAAAAATACGGAAATATACTGCGCTTCCTAGAGGCCATCAGAATGTGAGATTGTAGATGAGCAGAAGCAAATGGTTTGGTTGGAACACTGTTCCTTAAATAAGAGTATCAGATCCCTCACATCAACATCTTAGTATAGGCAGTCAGGGTTACTTAACAAGTTTAGAAACTTAATTTGCTCTATTTTGTTATAATTTGCTTTGTGTTTCTTTTGTAACGAGCTATATTAGAGCTAATTTGTTGGGCCAGTTTTGAAAACTGGCTGGCCTTAAGAAGACACACATTGACTTAAAAAATGATTAGCTTCTTGGTTTTGACTGTTGAAGTGCACATACAGGTGACATGAGAGTGATAATAAGCATGCACTGAGTGTGCAATACAGCCAAGTACTGTGATAAACAATTATAGATTAACAATGAATATTGTTAGAAGGGTATTCTTGGTTTATGAGCTCACTTAGTCACAACTCTGCTATTCACATCTGTGGTATACTGAAGAAGCTGGACCACCATTAAGGCTTCAGTTGACTCAGACCAGGAGTCATATGTAGGCAGAATGAGTGGAAGTCACTTTGCAGAACTTGGTTTATGAGATTGGAGAGCAGAAAGAATGACACTCTTGTTGCAAGTATCTTGAGGGAAAGTTTTTTTTGAATGCTGGTGTGTGAATTTGAACTGCCCATTCTCTCTACCAGCAGTTTCACTTTGTCTCATGATTGCAAAGTTATTTTCCTTTTAGCTGGTACATTAAAAGTGATCTTAATTAAAATCTCATTGAAAAGTAGTAGGAAAACAAAAGAGAGAAATATCTTCTGCTTCTGTTAGGTCCATACCATTTCTGTTCTTTATTGTGCCCATGTTTGCATGAAATGTTCCCTTGGCATCTCTCATTTTCTTAGAGATCTCCAGTCTTTCCCGTTCTATTGTTTTCCTCTATTTCTTTGCACTGATCACTGAGGAAGGCTTTCTTATCTCTTTTGCTGTTCCTTGAAACTCTGCATTCAGATGGGTATATCTTTCCTTTTCTCCTTTGCCTTTGGTGTCTCGTCTTTTCTCAGCTATTTGTAAGGCCTCCTCAGACAGCCGTTTTGCCTTTTTGCATTTGTTTTTCTTGGCGATGGTCTTGATCACTGCCTCCTGTACAGTGTCATGAACCTCCATCCATAGTTCTTCAGGCACTCTATCAGATCTAATCCTTTGAATCTGTTTGTCACTTCCACTGTATAATCATAAGGGATTTGATTTAGGTCATACCTGAATGGTTTAGTGGTTTTCCCTACTTTCTTCAATTTAAGCCTGAATTTGGCAATAAGGAGCTCATGATCTGAGCCGCAGTCAGCTCCGGGTCTTGTTTTTGCTGACTGTATAGAGCTTCTCCATCTTTGGCTACAAAGAACATAATCACTCTGATTTTGGTATTGACCGTCTGGTGATGTCCATTTGTAGCGTCTTCTCTTGTGTTGTTGAAAGAGGGTGTTTGCTATGACCAGTGTGTTCTCTTAGCAAAACTCTTATTAGCCTTTGCCTTGCTTCATTCTGTACTCCAAGGCCAAATTTGCCTGTTACTCCAGATATTTCTTGACTTATTACTTTTGCATTCCAGTCCCCTATAATGAAAAGGATATCTTTTTTGGGTGTTAGTTCTGGAAGGTCTTGTAGGTCTTCATAGAACTGTTCAGCTTCTTCAGCATTACTAGTCGGGGCATAGACTTGGGTTTCTGTGATATTGAACGGTTTTCTGAGACAGAGCACTTAGGGATATACAAAGAGATATAAGATTCATCCTTTTGAGTTGCTTATACTTTAGTTAGGCATATAGAATATAACCATGTAACAAAATAATCAATGCATGGTGAATAAAAGCCAAATGACTCTGGTTAGAACAGCCTGGGAAGGCTCTGTAGAAGTCTGTCTTGAGCTATGTTTTGAAGACCAGGATGACTTAAGAAAGGGGAAGGCATTGAGGGTGAGCAGAGGGCAGAACAGTGGCACTTAGGTGTCTGATGTTGTTTTTTTCTGTTTGTCTGTTTTTGCCTTTTTTGACTGTTCCATACAGCATATGGGATCTTAGTTCTCTGATTAGGGATCAAACCTACTCCCTTTGCAATGAAAGTGTGGAGTCTTAACCATTAGACTGCCAGGAAGGCTCTTGATGTTGTTTTAAGAAACAGATGCCCCAGACAGCTGCTTGGGGATGTAGAGGGTGTCTGGGGGTGTCTGAGGATGTCTTGGGGATGTTAGAAGGAAGGATGTGGGTGCATTATAGAGGACCTTAAATGTCAGAACAAAGTGGATTTCATTCTGAGGTTTGGAGTCTCTCTTTTTCCATCCCCCTGTAGTCAAAAGCATGCATTGTCAAATCTTAGAATTCAAACTGCAGCCTCAGAAAGTAAGGCTAAGAATGTGGCCTCCTTGGCCACAAAGGCCACAGTGCCTGGCACGTAGGCTGACACTTAGCTCAGGCTTGCTCTCTGCCAGCTAATTTTGTCTCTATAAAAGAACACCGTGAGGTGGTATTAGTATTATTATCGTCATCTGCATTTTTCCTCACACGAAAACTGAGACTCAGTAACTAATAAGTGGCAGAGTGAGGACTTGAACCCAGGCAGTTTGGCTGTAGAATCCAGCCCATCCACCAGTCCACGAGAGCCTCTATGTAGGAGACCCTCTGTGTGGAATGAATGAACCTCTTTACTTGATTGATTCAGCGCCAGATGAGTACCCACCAGTGAGGCATCCGGGAACCAGTTAAACCCTTTGTTCTTAGAGGAGATGTATGTAAGTCGTCAGAGTGAAAGGACCCTCAGGTAACGAGCCTTCTTTGTATTCTTATTCCGCGGACACGGCTGTGAAGCTCTATTATAGAGTTCTTGCCAGCAGAAGTGGTGAAGGCTTCCTTCAGATATGTGGCCAGGGAGGAGACAAGCCCAGCACAGCATAATAAAATGAGCCCGCAATGGAATAGTAGATGCCTGCGTGTGGGCCTTCATTGAAAGCCTTCCTTCTCTGCCTGTGGCTGAGGGTGAAGGAAGCAAGCCACATCCCGGCGTTAGTGGTTGCTTTGACAGAACTCGCACTTTTCCTTCCCTCCCTTGTTCCTTGGTTATTGTACACCATTGTGTGGAGGGATGGCCATGGACTTGAACCAGAGCTGTGTAGGGACCCTAATGCCTCCTGAGTATAAATTACCTTAGGCTTTTATCATCAATTTTATCTTATCTTCAATCCTAGAATGTATCTGAAGAAAATGGGAAGTTAAAAAAGTAAATGCTTGCTCCTGAGGGCTTAAGCTTCACTAAGTTTTTACTTTAAAAACTATTCCACTACACATCTTTAAAAATTATTAACTGCTGCCTCCGTGGCTGGCCAGTGTTAGGTAGGGCTGTGTTCCCAGGAGCCTCGGTAACAAGAAAAAGAGGCATGCAGGGAGAACTCAGGGAAATCGGTTTGGGAGAAAGAGATGGACTTGTCTGTGTTTTACCGGTCCCTTGTGTCAGGACAAAGAGGTGCTGTTGAGGGGAGCTCTGCGGAGACGCTGCTGGCCTCTGTGCCAGCGGAGTGTCGGGGGGTTGGCTATCTTCCTCATTCCGCAGTTGCCATTTGGTGCCTAGATGTATACTTTTGGAGGCTTGCCTGTGACCCAAACACATATTTCTGTTGAGCAAACACATTTCTTTTCATCTTTATTGGATGTACCTTGAATTCCAGGTGTAGTCCACAGGAGAATACAGATGTTTTTAGTTGGAGCTATTTTCCTGCTAAGAAAGCTTTGAACTCTTTGGGTTCTTAGGACAGCAAGCAGAGGTTTTAATACTAGCTGGTTAATACTTGGTTTGGAATGGACAGGCAGGCAGCCTTGGGTGGAGGCTAAACATAATAATACCACTTTATTTTTATTGTTTTCAAATGCCTTCATGCCTAGTGTTTCATTTGATTCTCATAGCAGTCCCTGGATGGGAAGGGTTGTTTTTTCATTTATGGAATGAGAGTAAGGGGCTTGAGAGCAAGTAATTAGTTTAGAAAGCTGGTCTGCCTCTTGACTGAACCTGAACCCAGCACATTTCTGCAGACAGACTGCACTGATGAGTCAGGGTGATTTTCCTGCAGCACGCCCCTCAGCACCTCTTAAAACCATGCTGCCAGGCGCTCTGCTGGGTACTCTGCACCAGTCAGTTCATTTAATCTTCACAGAAACCTAGTGAAGTAGGTGTTCGTTATTATCACTGTTTTTATAATTATTACTACTGCCACCACTCCTACCACTATTATTATAATACTAATTTTACAAATGATGCAACTGAGGCTTAAGGAAGAAAAATGTCATATATAATGAGAGTTAATTTTTAAAAAGTTGAAATGGTCCTTTGAGTAATAATAGTCATATGACAATTAAGTTCGGCAGCATGGCAGCAGACCCAG